GACGTGCCTTCTAGCCTTCCCCGTCGACATTAAGTATTAGGGGGTGGCATATGCGAGAAAGTAAACGACCACTTGAACAGCCGTCAAAAGGTGGCGCACACCAACTGAACAGGCAACAGGAGATAGGTAACCCAGGAGCTACGGGGCCCCATTGATTACTGAGCTCGACGTGCGGATCCATCCCAGTAACATTAACGCCAGGTTGCCACGCCAGCTGCTTAAGAGGAGTTGATATATTCGGCAGTAATGTCTGCTCGGTTTTACAAACTGATAAGCTGTTCAAAAAGAATGAAACAGCGAACCTGCTGTAGAACTTCGTTCTGATCGAACCGACAAGCAACATCAAAAGCGCATTCGCCATGCGCTGCGAGATTCTCGCGCACCAACTGCACAAAAGGCATCACCTTCTTCATCACCTTTTTCAGGCTTTCCAATGTCCCAATGCGACGAGAGATTTCTTTGTTATCCGGCAGTTCACCCTTGCATTCCTTAAAATACGAGGAGAAAGTACAGAAAAACGACCGAAAGAGTCCTGAACTAAAGCTGGAAAACAATCAGTGTTAGCCAATGAAGTCTAAGCCTGATGGCTCAAGTAGTGCGTACGTTGCTATACGGATGCGTGTAGACAGTTATGCTCAAACCGTCCGATACAATAAAATCATCCATCTTCAAACACCTAAGGACGTCTTCAATTCAGAAAAAAGCGGCGCACTTCAAGAATGCGAGCTGCTTCTTTATTCTGAATTTGCTTATAGAGAATAAATATGTGGATGTGCCTCAAGTATAAATCTGGTGTTCATAATACCTAAGTTAAAAGTGGATATCCAAAAAAGAAACATATTACAAAAAGTCAAAAAAAATATATTAGAAATATGAACTGTTACAAAACCGAACAAAAAACTTCCGAAATTTCAGTTTCTTAGCCCATTTGATTGTGATACTGTAAACGTTTAGTAGGCACACCAACATGTCTTCCAAATTTGCGCAGATGTAAAAAAGCAAAAAAAAAATTATAAATTTGGAAAAGGGGTCGATAGAGACAAGAATATCATTGAGGTACAACCGTTAAAAAAAAATTTGACCGCATTTTGATGATTATGTGGGTGAAAGGGATAAAAGCTCGCAAAAATTTGGAATATTTTTTGCTTCAGCAAAAATTGCCAATGTGAAGCAATTCATAGTTCCAGGCTTAAAAAAAATGGACTAGAAACAATACGAATCTTTTTCAGCTTCAATCCCATCAGCAAACTATTACTCAAAACAACCAAGAAATCTTAAAAGAATTGGGTCTCTTAAGTTGTCTCCAAGACAATAAATAAGAAGATAATATGAGAAAAATGGCCAACGCACGGGCTGCCCGTGCGAAGACGCGTTTTTTGCAGAGTCCCCCGCAGGTTTTTGTTGCTACCGGT